CAGTTACAGTGTAAGCACTGAGCTTTTCCCAGGCTCCAGAGTAAACCTTGGCAGTCATTGGGCACCACCACGTGTGAGTTACACACAGACACATGGATGGAGGCACTCACTCCCACATCAACCCATGTATGTATACATCTATCTCAAATTTCTTTCTTTATTGCAGGTCTTCACCATGAATATGCCTCATTAGGGCTTGGTCAGTTGTTGCTCAGATTACTGACGTGATGGGCTCTGTTTAATCAGATTTTTATTTGTAATGTGTTGGAGTGGAGTCAGGAAAGGGTTCTGTAGGCAGCAGATCAACCTCATCTGTGAGAGGACTGAGATAGAGAAATGGCAAACTGCAGGGTGATTTATACAGCTACTGAAAAAACATGCCACCCCCTTAGTTCTGCTTTGTTCTCCTATGTGCTGATTGCAGCTACTTCACTGAATGTTAGAACTAAGGGAACCTGTGGGATCGGTGTCAGTAAAACCACAGCCTGGGAGGGTGTGGTCTGTGTGACAGAACTGTGGGGAGGTGCAGGGGGAGCTTCTCAGCTGCTGCTTTGCCTTACGTGCCAAGACCTCACAAAAACCAGAACAGCTCCCTGGACTGGGACAGCAGCAAACACGTATCTGAGTCTTGTGACATGCCACATCAGGATCAAAGTCCTTCCCAAACTCTTCTCACTGCTGTTATCTGCAGTGGACCTTGGAATCTTTTTTTTTTCTTTCCCCTAATGCAATTAAGATGAAGCAATATTTCTCTTTTAAATCTTTCCTCTGGACTTGTTCTTTCTGCTGGGACCACAAGGAGCTGGTCAGTAATTAATAGTGTCATTAAACGCCCTAATGGCTCCTGTGCAGGTTCCCAGGAAGGTGTGAATTTACACCGTTAATAACGTACACTGATAGATTTTTTCCATAGAATTTCATTTTTCCATCCTGGTATTTATTCTGGTACAAGATTTTTATTACAATTGATGTTGAAAGCTGACTAAGATAATCTTCCCAAAGAGGTGCTTGCCTTTTGAAGCAGGAGGTGACAGAGAAGGACCCACCAGTCAAACCTCAGTGGTTTGGTTACACTGCTCTCCTGCACTTGGCTGTCCTTAGGAAGGAGTGGCTGTTCTGTGTTGGGTTCAGAAACACCAGATAAAGCAGATACACAACACAGAGGGCTGCAGTGGGACCACATCTGGTTTCCTTGAAGCATTTCTGCTTCCATTCTCTTCTTTCCGTGTACGAGAGAACCACACAGGCAGGAACTGTCCTTGGTTTGTGCAGGGGTGGAAAATCGTCCTGAACTTCTCAGCTGTGAGATGGAGTTGTGTGTCACACCCCCAAAGAAGTGGGCAGCACTCTCCAATTAAATGAGGAAAGTTCCTCACCTAGTGTGCATGGGGCAACTGGAGCTGTCTTTAATGTTTGCGTGGTTTGTGCAGGCTAAGTGAGCTCAGAGAGAGATGGGATCGTGATTTCTGCCAGGTAACCCCAGTCCAGTAACTCTTATTAGAGCCCACAAATAAACATTTTTCTTCTTGTTGCAACACAGAACTGAGCCAGCTGGAATACCAGTGAGTATTCAGGAGCTTCTAATCTCATGTTAGAAATAAATCATATCTGCCCCAGAACTTCTGTCTGGAATTAGCTACTTACACGAGGCATAACCTTGCTGATAACTAATACTGTTATCATGACTCAACTAAAGTTTACTCTGGCTCTCTTTTGGTTCTAGTACATCAATAATTAGGGCTGTTCTGAGCCAGCTCATTGCAGTGGGATTTGGGTGAGGAGCTGTGTTTGTAAAACAAACTTGTCCTTGTGCAGAAGCCAGAATCCCACAGAAACCCCGTCTGCCTTACTCAGGTGGTTCTAATCTGAAATAATTACTTGGATAAACAGTTTCTGCCTGACACCTTTAGCAGATTTCCCATGGGATCTTACATAACCTCTGTCCTTTATGAGAATATTGTAGTATCTGCGGAAAAGGTCATGGGATTCATCCACCCTATTTCTAAACTGCTCTAATGGGAAGTCCTCATTTAGTATTGAAACAATAAACCCCACACGATACTTAGCAGTGTCATTCAGCTGTGATTCAGCTAAAATGCCATATATGAATGTGGGCTTTCAGAACATTCCAGAGAAGTAACTTCCTTCTGTCCGAAGCTCCAGTTTTCTCTAGGACTTGTTTCTCTCCCAGGCAGTGTCAAGCAGTCCCTGCACCCAGTGCTTCAGGCAGAGGGAACTGTCCCCTGGCTCCCAGGGTGGGTGGTCACTGGGCACCAGTTCACAAGCTGTGCCTGCATCCTGAGCCCTCCTTCCCCCTCCCCTCACCCGAGGGCCAGCCAGGGTGGCCTCAGGATGGAGCTCTTGCTTAGCTCTGTGGAATTCACACCATAAGGGGAGAATCCAACCTATTAATTTTAGTGCTGTGTGAAAGAGATTAGGCAGTCAAAGCACAGACTTTTCCAGGGCAGCAGAATATTGGCTTTCCTTTGGAAATGAGAGGAGCACATTGGCTGAAATGCTCCTTCCTCTCAGTAATTCCTCTTGGTCACAGCTGCTTGTAGAGGGCTGGGCAGTGAGAGATCTGCTGTGACCCCCTGCATGGGCAGGGCCCAGCCCAACCAGAGAGCACCCAGCTCAGCACCAGTCCCTTCCCAGACTGTGGGACAGGGGCTTTGGGTGTGGCCTCAGGTTGCCTTTTGCTTATTTACTTTACTTTTTTTCCCTCTTCTTCCCCTTGGCAGCTGTTACTTAAGACCAGCTGGGAGGAAATTGGTATCAGTCTGGATAGATTTAATTGTAGTCAAGATTCCTCTCCTCCTGAGGAATCTCCTTCCCTACGCCTTTAGTTCCTCCCTTCTAGCCTTCTTTGGAGAAGGGGTTCCTGGGGAATACCTGAATTTGTGTCCTGCATGAGTGCTGCTTCTCCTTAGATGCTGCTTCTGCTTCTCTGCTGCCTGAATGCTGGTACCCAGTGATTTCCTAGGTTGCCTGCCACAGCTCCTCTGCCTGTAAGTCATTTGTGGGTTTCTTGTCATTCTGGAAATGTTAATATCAACGTTTTTACAGCTTCAGTCCTCCAAGTTTGTGCTGCTCAGAGATCCAGGTCTGTCAGTGCTGCTGTGAGCAGAAGGAAGGGAGGATGAGTACTCACTGATCAGAAATGAGTCTTTTCCTGTTAGATTCCCAGGAGAGCACCAAGTCTCTCTGCCCTTGAGTCTTGTGGTGCTCTGAGGAACATGAGCACTGTGTGATTTGGGAAGGTATTTGTGTCTCTGGGAGGAGCTGTGAGCTGTGGCCTTGCTGATGGGCCAGGTACAAACCCTGGGCAGAAGTGGGAACTCCTGGGGGATGTGGCAGATCAGGCAGTGTGAGCCTCCCCTCGTGGTGTCCCACTGTGGCAGGAAGAGGCTTGTAAACATTTTACATTATTATAAATAGCCTCACTAATGAGGTAAGCTTGTGTACTTAGTCTAAAACTATCATTTGTGTCCTGGGAGAAAGGTTAGAACAAACAGAGGGACTGCTGCAGGCAGAGCTGGGAGAAGCAGCCTCAGACTGTGGAGGGTTTCCTTTGGAGTAGCTGGGAAACGGCATTTGGAGCTGGTGAAGGGTGGAAGCAGGGCTGATGTACAATGTTTATAACCACTTGATTTTTACTTTGGGGTCTCTGATGGGACAAAGTCCCCAGCACACAGTGCAGGACAGAGCACACAGTGCTTCAGCTGATCCCAGGGAATGCATTAGAAGCAGCAGGTGGTTATGAATTAGGAAGCTTCCCTGCAGCTCTGGAGAGCTTTTGCCACTGACCAGAGGCAGTAAATTCATGAGTAACTGTTCTCACCAATCCTCTCTCTGTTTCCCCTCTCCTCCTTGCAGGCAGTGTTGATAAATCAGTCACCAGATGCGATATCAGAAAACTTTTATACAAGTTTTTAATAAAAAAATTCAACAAAAATATATATCATCAGGCATTTTATGCAATGCATACATTCTTTATATCTGCAGGTACAGATAAATAACAGAAGGCAAAACCAAATATTTTGCTTATCTTTGGCCATTAACCAATAATCACCCCCAAAGAGATATTACAGGGTTAAAGGATAATAGACTGAGTCTGTAAACATCTCTCACTACAGACACAGTATCAGGCAATAATACAGTAGTCAGATTTTCAGAAATGTAAGGAAATAGTTCTTTAACACTGCCCAATACTGAAATTTCACCTGGTTTGCTGCTCTGGAGCATAAGGCCTTCAGCTGACACAGGCACAGTCCTGGGTTACATTAGATACTCCCCAGCCCTCACTGACCTCCTTCCCTTGGCCACTGTCCTAGCTGTGGGGGCTGGGACCAGTTTATCACTCTGTGGGTATAACCAAAACTGTGTATTCTACCCCCTCTCTGTCATTTCTGAGGGACTGGTAATAAATGCATTGTTTGCAGCAGCTGCCCAGGTACAAGCTGGGTGTTAAAGAAACCCTGTGAGGCAGGGGAGTGTTTCTTTGTCTTCACTCCAACAACCAGCTGTGACAACCCCCCTCCAGACCCAGCCTGAGGGGTCAGCTCTGCTACTGGGACATACTGGACTGGCATAACAGGCAGCTGCAACACCCAGACCATCAAAGAGGCCAGAACCATCCCCTGACTGACAGAGTTAAATCCCCCATTGTGAACTTCCCTGGGTGGGGGAGGCACTGGGCATTCCCACCTGAACCTGAGCATGTACAGACTTTGGGTTTTGGGACTTCTGGCACCACTCCTCGGATGCAGAGGAGGACCAGAACTCCAACAGGACTGCAGCTGCCACTCTCAGCAGGACTGTGACCATCATCCGACCAACAGGTTTCCTTTCCTTTTACTTTGCTCCCAGGGGGCCCTGTGGTGCTCAGCACAGGGGCCATCAAACACCATTCTGTTCTTGTCCCAGGGTGCTGGGTTACACACCTCTCTTTGTGGGTTAAAACCATTTTATTTATTGTAATCTTTCTAGTAAATTGTAACTCTGACTTGTAATCCTTCTTGAGCTGGGTTCATTTCTCCCACAGGTTTCCTTTTAAACCAGCACACACACACTGCTCTACAAAGCCAAGCTGTACCTCCTCACAAAGAAACTAGCACAAAGTCTGACCTGGGGCTCAGCTTCCTGAACCCCAACCAATGTACAAAAGGAACCTTAACTGCTCTGTAAGTCAGTATTTTCCTACCTCGATGTCCCAGAATAACAGTTTTCCTTCCACTTACAGCACAGATGCATCATGGCTCTACCAAAGCAATATATACATGAGACATGAAACATCAGAGAAGCAATTTTTAAAGGTACAATGATAACATGTAGCAGCTTATGTCTATATATGTACATGTTTTCACAGTTATATTTTAGAAAATTGAGAACACCAGGAATACTTCTACTGTGTTTTCTATAAATAGTAAAAAAAATTACCTGTCAGGCATTTTGATAAAATAGTATTTAGGTTATCACTTTAAATAGCTCTTGAAAACCTGTAGAGTTTTAAGCTTAAAGGCTGTACAGTTTGAGGATTCTGTGAAGTGTTTGTAGCCAGTTTCAGCAGCTGGGCCACCTGCCAGCTGGAATTGGAGTTTTTTTCTTCTTTTCCAAAAAATCAAATCTGGTAGCAAAGGAACTCCAGCACCTTGGGTGGGATGGGCAGGCTGGTGACGTGGCGGGTGGGCATGACCCTGCGGATGGCCACGCGGCAGAGGTGCTGCAGGCTGGGCACCTGCCAGGGCGTGGCCCAGAAGTGCAGGCTGCCATCCTGGGTCCTGCACAAACACAGCACAAACCCCACAGCCATTACTCCTCAGAATGGGCTCGCCCCAGCACCCACCCTCACACGCATTTCTAGGTAGGGCACTTGCTGTTACTCCGTTCCAGCTGTTCCACTCCCATTTACACCAAATGCCAGCTCTTATTTTAAGCTACAGCAGCACAATAAGCAACTTGTCTATGCAACAGGCCTGCACAGATCTCCCAGCAGTTCCTGCCCCTGGCTATCTGATGGCTTCTTCCAGCCCACATGTTTTGGGTCTCTCTCGTATTTATTTTCAAAGATAAGAAAGGAGTTTATCAGCTTATTGATTTTACTGCTATTCCAGGCATGCTTAAAAAAATAGTACCAGTCAGAAGCACCGAGCTGCAAGTCACGACTGAAGAGTTTTAGAACACTTGGCCACTGCTTTCAACCCTTTGTGTTATCTTATTATTTTAGAAAGGAAACCAAAGTCTATACTTGCCCTGCAGCGAGAACACTGCCATCAGTAGAGAAAGTACAGCAGAGCCCGTTGTTCAGAGGTGCAACTTGTACAGGGTATTCTTCATCAATTCTCCAGAACCTCACCATTCTGAGAGGGAGGGACAAGGTAGGAAGTTACTGGAGTAGGTATTTAATTCTGTTTGATATTATCTCTGATGCTGCACAAGAAACTAGTCTGAAGCACAGCTCAGGGAATTTTTATGAATATTTTAATAGGCATACACAGTGTTTCAGGTCTGGCCTGAAATGCTCTGATTTCTTCTTTCCTGATAAATACCTTGTTCTGTACTTTTTCAATTAAAAAAAAGACTGCCTTCAGTAACAGAAAGCAATACCTGAACTACAGATTTAGACAATTTCTCAAGTGTCACGTACGCTAGGAATTCCCAACAATGCTTGTCAATTAAAAAAATAAACCCTCCTGAAGATAGTTGAATACCCTTGCTGTCATGTTGAGAATGCAGCTCACATTCTTAAAACACAGTCCTTCAGGATACCACTCATGATGGTCACAGAGCTGAATCCAAATCACAGGACACTTTTCCCTTTGCTTTGGAATTTACTTCTGTCCACAAGACTTGTCCGCATTAACAACTCCATTTACAATCCCTCTTAGTTGTTTTCAGCTGTTGCACACTGAAGTTGTTCAGATCATCTACTCTGTACCCAACTAATGACTTCTACACTCAAAATCAGTGTTACCACACACCAGACAACTCGTCTGCTTTTACCGAGAGCGCCAGAAGTCACTTCTCAGTTGAAGAAGCCCAGCCCTGCCCGTGTTCAGAGTGCAGAGCCCGGGGTCTGACCGAGCCCTCCCCACACTCACCTGTCGTCGGCCAGGCTGGCCACGTGCAGCCCGTCGGGGCTGAAGGACACCGAGCGCACCCAGCGGTCGTTGGCACCGCCCGCGAAGATCGGCGTGGGAGCAGGGAACAGGTGCCTGGGGACAGAGAGAGACACAGCTGGGGGGTGGGAACAGGTGCCTGGGGACAGAGAGAGACACAGCTGGGGGAGTGGGAGCAGGTGCCTGGGGACAGAGAGAGACACAGCTGGGGGAGTGGGAGCAGGGAACAGGTGCCTGGGGACAGAGAGAGACACAGCTGGGGGGGGAGCAGGGAACAGGTGCCTGGGGACAGAGAGAGACACAGCTGGGGGGTGGGAGCAGGAACAGGTGCCTGGGGACAGAGAGAGACACAGCTGGGGGGGGGGAGCAGGGAACAGGTGCCTGGGGACAGAGAGAGACACAGCTGGGGGGTGGGAGCAGGAACAGGTGCCTGGGGACAGAGACACAGGGCAGGGTCCCCTCAGCCACAGCAGGGAGAGAAATGGGTGGAACATGTAGCTACTAAACTACTGAACTGGGAATTCAGGAGTGGAGACTGAACTCTGTGTCTGTCACAGCTCTCAGCACTCAGCTTTGTTGAAGGTGCCTGAGTTAGTGCACTGGAAGTACCAGTGCTGTAAATTCTCTCTCAGATGGAAGAACAACCTCCAGTCTCTGCCACTTCAGGGTTTCCATCAGCCCCTGCTCTTTCCCAAGTCCAATCATCAGTTACATATGGAAACCCATTGGTTTTCATCTACACTCTGGGAGAAAGTTTCCAGGTTTGACTGCTTTACTCACCCAAATTCCATGAGAATAACTCCAATATGTGGATCCCAGACATAGACTCGAGTATCATAAGATGCAGTAGCCAGTAATGCTCCATCAGGAGAGAACTCACAAGCTACAACATCATTGTGATGTCCTTCAAGTTTCCGTAACATGGAGTATTTATCCATATCCCAGAGGAAAACCTGCAATTAAATAAGCTGATGTTATAGCTCTGCTCAGAGAGGCAAGGCAGCATTTAATTTGTTTTTTAAGTATAACTAATCTTATTTAGGATTATATTAAAATCAGGTATTATGAATTACTACAATTAAGAAATATGCTCAGTGTCATACTCAGATTAAAATCAAGGGGTTTTTTTAAAAAATAATTAAAGCAGACATGCAAGTTCTAACTCAAGTTTGTTAAATGTTATTATCAAAATAAGCCAAAATATAAGATAAAGGCAACACAATTTAACCATGTAGCTTACTGAAATTCATGTATTACAAAACTATTTTATTAAAATATGCAGAAATAAATAGGGTTAAACTCTACAGTCCCCTCTTTTCAGTAACTACCAAAATTTTAAGAAATATACAGACAGAAAATGTAAGGTTAACATATTGTTACTCCAGTGGCATCCCTTTAAGATCACTTGTTTACAATTGCTTGGATCACCAACGTCAGCCTAGGAAGAGAAACAGATACTGCAAGCAAAAAGAATTTTCACAGCCAAAAATTATGTCTTTGGCAAAACAACAGGGAAGTCTAACCACATTATTAGAAAGAATTTAGGCATTTTAAATCAACAGCAACAAACAACATTGATATTACAATTTACCCAGCTAATTGCACAGTGTATTATAAGAATTGATAAAATATTACAGTATTCTGGGATTTTACATGCAGTTGTACATTATATATGATCAGAATAGAGACTGTGCAGAATTACTTAATAGGAACTATCCATGTACTGCAGCGAGATTTTATAGGAATGTAAGTCTTTAACAAAAGCTGTTATGTCCCTCTAAGAGCTCATTTCAGGGACCCTGATTTCCCCCTCCCCCCAACAGTTTTACCACACAGATTAAATTCTGACATCTTGGATAAATTTACGTTTGACCAAAGCAAACACAGCCTTAGTGCCTCCCACACTTCCTAAAACTGAACCGTTTTACAGTCGGTCATAAACGTGTTGACCGATTTTTCCGAGGAGCCCCCAACATTCCACAACACTGGGAACTAGGTTTGAGGAGTCAGTGTGTTTCACTGCTGTGAAAATTATCAAAAAAAAAAAAAAAAAGGAAAGCAAGCAAGCAAGCAGACAGTGGACATGGACCAGCACCTGCGTACGTACAGGACCCCTTGCAGCCGAGGGCAAGGTTACTTCGTCCTACGGTCCCGGCCCGGGCTGGCGGCCAGGCATGGGCATGCCCCTCTCTAACAGCACTGTGCTCCCAGAGGGGCAGCTTAACTCAATCACACCAATATTGCTGCCACCACCTGTGACAGGGAAAGCAAGAAGCTTATGGAAAACACACAGCCTACAGACAGCAATGTCCACCCCCCCTCTGCTCCAGCTACAGAGCCAAACCCCAGAGCTCAGCTGTTCTCCAGCAGATCTGCACTGGGAACTCGAGGGATGGAACACATCTGAGCGCTCATCTGGACAAGTGGGTTGGGCCTTTCACTCCACTGAACTACCTACAGAGCCCCTGGAACCAGGAATCCCCCTTTCTTGTTTGCCCTAATTCTTGGGTGCCAAGAGTAGCTCATGGCACAACTGCACTGCTTTCGGTTCTCTGGCAGGGCATTAGGGTGGGATGGAAACAAAACTAGTGTGCTGCTCCTCCTTCTAACTCTTGTGCCATTGGTATGGGAAAACAGGGAGAAACACTTTTGTTGGGCAGGAGATACCCTGACTGGCTCAGACTTTGAAAAGTCCTTATTGAGCAGGAAATAGAAAGCATCAAATCAAATCAAAATAGTTTTATGCATTAATCTAAGTATCTTTTAACACTGGCAGCTTTAGCTGTCTTTGGTCTATGCCATGACCCCATGCAGATGTGCAGACCTATTTCTCAAAGAACACTTACAGCCTCTTCTACTAAAAGCAGTGCAAGTTTCATTCACAAATCAGGGTCTCAGTGCACCATTTGCCAGTCTAATTTCATGCACTTTTACATCATCGTCAAACATTAGAAGTTCATGACACCGAGCACAAGCTTAATGTTATTTAGATTTCAAATGATTATGCACACAATTCAGGAGATTTAAGGAACAAGAAACTCTGACACATACTGCCTTACTAGCTCCAACAGAGCAGAGGATGGAGGAGTCTGGCGAGAATGCACAGCCATACACCCAGTTCTGATGGCCTCTCAACACCTTCATCATATTTCCTAAAAAGAAAGACGCTGCTGTAAGAATTGGTTTAATATTACAAAAAATTCAGATTGAAAAGCTTTTCCAAATTAGTTATTCCTTTGTAAAATTTTGTACTGTTTTTCCAAACATCTTGCAGAGTCATTGTACACAGAAACAAGAATCCTGTGATGCAGCCTCTAAATCCCATGTCCCTGTTCAGAAAGTCACTTCATGCACTCTTAACTTAGCCCAGTCCCCGATTCTCCCTTCAGGGTACACACAGATAAAGAATTCCAAGAGAGTGTAGAGTGGGTGACTAACAGAGCTACACTCATTATTTAAGCAATCCTGACCAAACTGAGTTTACAGCAATAAAAGAGGCAAGTACACAGATATTTCTCCCGGGTTTTAGAGCAGATAAACTGAGCACAAACCATCATCTTTCAGGTCCCACACCCGCAGGGTTTTGTCTCTGGATGCAGACACTAAAATCAGGCTGCCATCAGGGGCAAAGGTTAAATCTCTGACAACTTCCGTGTGGTCCATCAGGTTCAGGAGGAGTTTTCCTGTTACATGAGAACACCACAATTTAACACGGACTGTACTTTTCCTCAGATCAAATGCTTTATGGATACAAACACTGAATACAAAATTACAGCACATGAAGACAATTTTCATTGCAGAAATACTCCCTACAGTGAGCAGCATGTGAATCCCTTCACTCCCCTGGATCAAGAGGCAACTCCCTGAAAAGCCAGAAGATCTGTACACTAGAACCTCAGAAATAAGGCAAGACTTGGCTCTTGACAGACATTCCAGTTCTAAGCTTCAGTTTACAAGATAACGGCAAATTACTCAATAGTCATGAATTTTTTTAAAGCTGAGGAGTTCCCTCCAGCTTAGCAGCTGTGCTGCCAGCGAAGCTGAGAGTCCCTACGTTCAGATGCAGTCTTTTTGAGTTGAACGATTATTAACTTTTTAGAAAAGTAAAAGGTCCTCATCACCATAAAGCAGCAACTTCATGCTTTGAAAGTTTCCTTCGAAAGTATGGTAAAACTAGGAAGATTTTAGAGTAACCAACCAATGTATGTATGCACACATTTAACCATTTTGCATCTTCCACCACTCACATCTCAAAGCATGACCCGCATCTCTTGTTCCTCTGGCAGGTTTTGATTACTTTTGGTTGCAGGAGCTCATGCTTTTTTTAGATTATTTAACTTGTACTCAAGTTTCATTTCCCAAGTACAATTCTGTAACCGATTCCTTCTGTGGATTAACGGCGTTACACCAAGTGTGTGCTGGCACTTCAGTGTGATGAGGAGTGCTTGGAAAATGCTCTCTGGGACACGGTGGGATTGTCTGGGCGTTCTGTGCCTGGCCAGGAGCTGGACTCCATGATCCTCGTGTGTCCCTTCCAGCTCGGGCTGTCCTGACTGCACACCCACCTGTGTAGACATCCCAGATCTTGATGCGGCCGTTGTTGAGGCCCGTGGCCAGGAGCAGCTGGTCCTGCCCAAACTTGAAGCGGTGCCACTCGATGTTGACGCAGCGGCTCCGCTTCTCCGGCACCGAGGAGCCGAAGGCCAAGCTCCACACGATGTCCCCGCAGTCGAGGATGTGCTCGCAGGGCTTGTTCTTCTGCCCACTCTCACTGTTCTGCCTCGGGAGCCTGGTGCTGGCAGGGTTTGCACCATTCTTTGTGCCGTGCAGCAAACTGAACACACAGAAAATACAGAAATACAGCAGAAGTTATCCTGAATGGCAAACGTTTCTTAAAAGATGTAATGAAACCTCTGAGCTGTCATAATGTACATCTCTGAGACCCATAATGGGGCATTTTTACTTTAAAATTATAAATGCAGGTTTTTTTCTTATAAGTGTGAAAAATTACCAGCACCTGGAAATCTTCCTACATAATATAATACTAATATTTTGTACTCATTTTTATCTCTGTCGAGAGCAAGATATTAACTTAATTAACTGTGAAAGCTAACAGGTTTAAAGCATTTATAGAAAAATGAGTCACAAAAATTTCTAAGACTTTCTGCTAAATGAGCAAGTTCCCTGCAATTCCCTTGTATGTGTTAAAACCTGGGAAGAGATACTGAGGTCAGGACATGGAAAATATTAACCACCCCAAGAAAGTGGGTGGAAAAGGGTCAGGAAAATGTAACCAGCTACAGAACTGTAGTGGTTGGTTACCAACTTCACTGAAATGCAACCTGCAAGTGCCAGTGAACTGTGTTTTGGAACTTCACCTGCATTCTTACACAGGTGATAAGGAAAGAGGTCTGCCTTTTAGTAAATTCCTAAAAGGTAAAACCAAACAGCTTTGTGATAGGAAATTTAAAGGGCCAGATCTGCCCAGGTCTATAACTTCCCTTTTCATTCAAACTTCCTCTTACTTTAGGGCATCTGAAACTACTAATAAATCCCTCCTCCACAGACTTTGTGAGGCTGCAATAGTTGATGCTCTTGCTGGCCACAGAGGAAGAGATGAAATAACAGCTGTTACTTTAAGGAAGTAGCTTTTCCCCAAGGTGCCAAAGCCTAAAAAGCCAGTCTATGCATTTTAATCCATTGAAACCCATGTCCTGTTTTTAAATTGTTCTGTTTTTCAGGTGCATTAGAAGCCACGGAGGTTTGCCTTACAAGTTACTGAGGCACTGTGCCCAGGGGACCAGCTTCACTATGCGGTGTCCCTGCGACCACGCCAGGTACGAGCCATCGGGAGCGAACGCGACCGTCCAGTTCTCCCGCCCACACTTCTTGTCGAAGGGAGCCGTGGGGGCGAGGAGCTCTCCTACCGTGCGGGACCGTGCTGGGGGAACAAAGGGGAAAGGCAGTTGAGAAAAAGGCAGCGCGTTACAGCGGCGACACCGGAACCCTGCAGTGCCTCAGCCCGCTTCTGCTGCACGCCATTTAAAGTCATCGAGAGCCGGGGCTTATGTCACTGAGGAACCGATCCCAGGGCTGAGCCCGGGCTGCCAAAGCCATCGAGTCACTGGGGACAAACACGGGGCGTTGGACGCCTGCTTGTGCTGCGGGTGATGCCGCACGCCGGGGTCATCGGCACCGCATCCCGGGATCATCGGCACCGCATCCCGGGATCATCGGCACCGCATCCTGGGATCGGCGGTACCGCATCCCGGGATCATCGGCACCGCATCCCGGGATCATCGGCACCGCATCCCGGGATCATCGGCACCGCATCCCGGGATCATCGGCACCGCATCCCGGGATCATCGGCACCGCATCCCGGGATCATCGGCACCGCATCCCGGATCATCGGCACCGCACCCCCGAGTCGGCCCCGCCGCCCCCGCGCGCTCCCACGGCCGGGCCGGGAAAGGCTCCATGTGCCGCGATCCCGCCCGTCCCCGGCGGGCAGCGCCGTGTGAGCCCCGCCCGAGCCCGGGCCGGGCCGCGCTGCCCCCGCACCCCCGGCCCGCTCACCGATGAGCTTCTCGTTGACACTCGGGGGAAAGCTGGCCATGGACGGGCGGCCTGCGGGGCGGCGGCGCTGCGGCGGGACCGGCGGCTCGGCGGCGGCGAAGATGGCGGCGGGGAGGCGGCGGGGCGGGGCGGGGGCCGGGCCGGGGACGCTCCGCCCGGGGCCGGGCTGGGGCTGCGGGCAGCGGCTCTGCCCGCCCGACTCTGCCTGCCCGGACCCGGCTCTGCCCGCCCGGCTCTGCCCGTCCGGACCCGGCTCTGCCCGCCCGGCCCTGCCCCGCAGTTCTGTGCCCGGCCCGGCCGTGCCGCTGTCCCGGTTCCCGGTGTGACCCCCCCAGCAGCCCCGGGACGTGCCGCCCGCACCCCCGTCCCTCCTGTCCGCGGCAGCGGCACCCGCAGGTACAGCCCCAGCCCCGCCCGCGCCAACAGAGGAGTCACATTTAAACGACGCAAGGGACTAAATCTGTAGTGACCTGGCTCCCCCAAAACGTGGAGGTTCAGAGTACAGCAAAGAACCACAGTGAACACCCCCCCATATTGCAATCAAAAGGTGGTTTCTAGCTGCTGTAGTGGGGATGTACTGAGGGGGTTGTGTTCAGAGGCTACCGACTCCTCAAATGGGATAAGAAGTGTTCTTCTTGCCTAAATGCCAGACCAGCAGCAGAGAATGTTCCTAGCACAGAGAGAGATTGTCTACACTATCTTTTAAGGCAGGTTGTGACATCCCTGATGTCTGTTTGACCACGGGACTGCAGGATGACACGTAAACCAAAAAATATGCAAACACTTATACGACTTCGTTGTGGAATGTGTGTAGGACAGAGATGTGAACACTTAATTTCATCTGCCCTAACCAGGGGCTGGAAGAGTCTCAGGACTTTCCTACCCTTTGATATTTCTTTATAGTTCAGCATCTACATCCAGCAAGAGCTTGTTTATGATAAAATTTTGAATTTGCTTTTAATGTTGTCCACAAACAACTTGGAGAAAGAGACGCTGAGGTCACCTCGGTCTCTGTCCTCTGCTTTCTCCTTCCTTTTTTTCTCCTTTTGCATATCTAAGTTCTGCCCCTCTTCTAGAAAAAGTGACTCTTCCTTGCTCTGTCTAGACTTCAGAGAAGCACCCAGCAGGATAATTAACTGCAGATAATGACTGTGATTTCATTCCAGAGCAGTGGCCTCGCTGGCAGACGCTGCAATAGCCATCGGGATGAGCTATTCAGCAACAGCCAGGAATCACCCCTGGCTGAGCAAGGCCAGTGAAGCTTTTTTTAACCCGGGTAGTGACACAATGTCAAAGAAAGGAGCAGGAAGAAGTCTGGAATATTTCCGGTGATTCAAACACTAGCACGGATTAACAGGGGTTTGTATAAACTCCCTTAGCCCATCGTAGCATTAGTTTGACACAGTACAACCCTGTTCCTGCTCTATCCATCCTCCTCTGCCCGCAGAGGGAAGAGCCCTGAGCGGCTCTGAGCACCTCATCTCTTGGCACAAGGCAGATTTGTAGCCAGTGAATATTGTGAAATGCTGCTGGGAGTTGCTTCTGAGCTGGGAGTGTTTGAGCCAGGCCAGCCCCTGGCTGAGGGGGCTCACAGAGGTTTCTCCTGAGGGTCTGAGCCTCCCACAGAGCCAGCACAAGGCTGAGTTCTGTTTGCTGACCTTGGGGCTGTTACAGCCAGAGAACCAGAGCTTTGCAGGGGTGTTACCAGCTTGCTGCCTTCCTTGCTTTTTTTTTTAAGAAAAGTATTTTGCAATTTATTATTTCTTTATGTCTCTGTGTTCCTGTAAGTACTGCCCAACAGTTGGTGTTTCTTCCCCAGTGTGCATTCTGCACATTAGCACAGTAAATTTAAGGCCAGAAGAGGTGATTAGGTCATTTAGTCTGCTTTTTATACAGAGGAATATATTTTAATCTAATTTCACACACCTTCAAACAGTGAGGATTTCCAGCCTTTTTACAACACTGGGATCCAACCGAGTCTGTCGGGTTCTGTTTGCTGTCCTGGTGTGGGTTGTACAGACAAACCTCCGGGAGTCTGATCAGCACAGTGAGTGTAAAACACAGAAAAGGACTAGGAAAGCCCATGGGGCTCTCTAAGGCCCACAAGTTATGTTCCTCCTCCTCACAGCTGTCATTCTATAAAGCACTCCTGACAAATTAGGAACAGTTAGGGCCAGTCACACCAAGTCCAAGGTAGGTGATCTGTGCAATAGTACCTGCATCTCGGAGGTCTGGCTGTCATTAAAAATTATGCTATTTTTAGTCTACACTGTTAATAATTCACAAGCTCCTGTTTGTTTTGAGAACCTTCTTGAGATGGAGAAAGTTCAGCCTGAGTTTGTGGAGGCAAAAGAGAAGGTGAAAAGAAAAACAAGAATGGAAGAAAGAAAGAGAGGGCAAAGAGGTTGAAGAGGAAAAGGGATTGCAGTGAGGAGAATGATGAGCAGCAGAGAAACTAGAGAAGTGCTGTCAGGAGTTGGACTTCAGTGACCCTTGTAGGTCCCTTCCAGCTTAGGATATTCTGTTATTCCATGATTCTGAGGAGGTCCAAGTGACAGCCCCCCCAGGGTGAAAGGTTAGAAAACCCTGACATACAAATAAAGCAACACCCCAGCCCTGCAAGGAGCTGTTAAAGGACGGGGCCTTGCGCAGTGGGCTTTGCCATTTCACAGGCTGTAAACGTGCTTTCAAGATCCTGAGCAGTCTTTGCCCCTCAGTGTCTCTGCCCCCCTTGCTGCAGTTCCTCCTTGCCCTGAGGTGCTGCAGGGATGGCCCCGTTTCAGCTGCTGCCTCATTTCGTAGGTGGTGTTGTTTGTGGGGTCCCTCCCAGCAGTCTCGGCCCCGTTTCAGCTGCCGAGTGTGGGACAGTGACCCTGGGGTTTGCAGTCAAATAGACAAACAGCTCTTGGGAGGAGGAGCGGGGGGATGAGGCCACTTTCTCAGGGTCATCCTGGAGCAGCCAGGAGCAGAACTGTCTGATCTTCCCATAGGCACCTCATGCACCAGGAGCTGAGGTTCCCTCCCTTGCTGGAATTCTGAGCTGCCATTTCTCTCTCCCCTTTTCCCTGTTGCTCTGTAACTTATTCACCGTTGTTTCTTGTGAAAATTTTTAGATGGTCATAAATTGATGTACATCTGGTACCTCAGGGGTTAATCTGTAAAGGTCTGCTAAAAGAGTGTACTGTGGAAAAGCTGCAGATGGAATATCAGAGAGACTATGGAATTTTGTCTCCACATTCTTTTGGTCTCGTTGGGATTTTATAATTTTTGGAGCATGTCTTTGGGTATAATAAATAGAGCAGATGGCTCAGTGTGTGTGGGGAATTGAGAGCTTCCATGATGAGTAGCTGCACTAGAATAAGGGAGAGAGAAGTTTGAGGTTATTCCTTTTAGGTTCAAACCATTCCTTCTCTATAAGCCAGCCATGGATGCCTTGTAAGGGAGCTGCTTCTAGAAACATCTGTGCTAAATTTACCCACTGAGGGTACAAGAGGTCTTATCTCAAATGGCTGAAGGTCACACTCAGAGCTTCAAGCTGTCCTAAGCAAGGGCAGTAGAGAAGGTTCCCTGTGTTACAGAGGAAGCAGGTCAGGCTCCCTTGAGCTCACTGTACCCACACCCCAATGTATGCCAGCATAACCTCCAATATCCACACAGCTACTTCACTTCTTCTCTAAAAAATCCTTTCTAATACTTACTGGGTTTGTGTGTTCCTCTTCAGCCTGTGTTTCCTCTGAGCTCAGCTGCCAGGGAAGGTGTCCAGGCCCTGTGCCAGGATGCTCCAGCACCTCAGCTGTTCCCTGCAGTGGGAAGGGACTTCCTTTTCCACTGGGCAGTGAAAATTGGTACTGAGCTGGTCTGTGTTCCTTTGGCTTCAGTTCCCTCACTCTGCTCTGTAATTACATCTGAATATTTACAAAGGTGCAAGACCCTAAGTCTGTCATTATAACCAGGGTTCAAAATGTACCAAAGGATGGTGTGAACAGAGGGAAAACCAATGGCACGGAGGGTGTCATTGTAAATGCCAATAAATCATCTATAAATTCAATTTATAGAAAAGCAAGTTGAGTTTAACAGGAACAATGACTGAGACAGACTCCCTGCATTCCGTAGAGCAGATCAATGAAATGATCAGAACAGAGGAAGGCGACATGTCGGGGAATTACGGGCTGTGTGTGGCAGCTTCTGCCTGGAAACAGCCAGGGCTGCATTCCTGCTGCAGGGAGTTGGGAAAGAGCAGGTTGTTTATAGATAAAGAGTGTTTGCTCACAGATCAGAAATGGGCCTGAGCTGGCGTGGAACTGAGCTTCAAAATATTTGGGTGGCTTGTATGTAGACCTGTTGCTACAGCAAACACGTGCAGAGGGCTACAGAGAAGGTGAAGAATCTGAGAAATGGAGGTTCTTTGAAGGTGGAGGTTGGACAAGAGAATTTCTAAAGATCCTGCCTAGCCCCATCTTGTTGGGCTGTAAAAATGCTGGAAATAGGTGAGGGGAGAACTCAGGAACTCCCCTCTGTGTTACACTGAGGATGTGCAGCCGTGTTTGCCCCATGGGAGAGTGAGGCTGGTGTAAAGGAGCTTCAGCAGCACAGAGCCCACTGTGCTGTTTGACTGCCCCACGCCACAGGCTTTGTTTCCTTCTGTCTGTTCCTAAACAGCCCTGGGTACAGAGCACCAGAGCCGTGCCTGCTGTAATTCACCTCCTGCCTCACCTTCCTCTCCACCCCAGCATCACGTCTGGCTCTGATCAGCCGGGGGGTCACTCAGTGAGTCTGAGAGCTCTTAAGGGAAGGCCCTGCCCTCTGCATTAACGTAATTGCAGGTTATTTGTGAGATTCCTTGCATGGCTTTGCTTCCTGAAGGTCTGGCACAGAAATCCGGTTTTGTAATTTGAGCCTTAACCAGCAGCTGGATGTAATTATGGGCTCCATTATCCCGGCAGCCGCTGGAGCACAGAAAGTAAAAGCTCGGTGTTGCCACTAGCCCTGGAAATGCCCCCGTGGGTAGCTCACAACTGCCCTGCGTGGGCTCTGTGCACACAGGCAGGACTTGGGGTTCTCTGGAGCCTGCTCTGTGCTGTTCACAAATGTTTCCTGAAAGAGCCTGGCGGGATTTCTGGTTACACCCTCACTGTAGCTCTCCTGAAGGCACAGATTGCACACAAAACGTGTAACAAATAAGCCTTGACAATGGCAGTAGGTTCCCTACTAAAGCAGAGCAGGATTTGGGGGGAGCATAATTAACTTTTCTGCCAGATGTCATAAACGGGGGGATGAGCTGATGTGCTCAGACCTATGGACACGTGGATCAGCTGCAGGGCAAAGGGAATGGTGACTGAACATGGTGTCTCATGGCAGCTGCAGGCTGGGAATGGCTCTGGGAACACTCTGGTCACCAGAGTCCAAACGGGAAAGGCCACTGGGAAGTAAAAACAAAGAACAGAGAGTACATTCCTGCAAGACCTGAAGTGTAAGCCAGTACCCAGACATCTCCTAATTCAGCACCACTGGGGACATTGCAGGTGTGCACTGTGGAACTTGGGCTGTAGATCCTGCTGTTCCCTCAGCAGACTGTCCCAGAGCTGCTGTGGCAGGGTTGGTGCTGGGGGTGGCACCAGGGCTGTGCCCTGCCTGCACCTCTGCCTGGCTCCTTGTTTCAGGGGCAGGGAAGGGGTAGCTTCTTCACCTGCTTGTGCAGCACTGATCCAAAGGATCTGGGTGCAGGGGGAGCCCTCACAAGTGCCTGCAATGCAAACAGCACATGGTGTAGTGAGGGCTGGGTTACACAGCTTGGGTGGAAGGTGATAAATCCTCCACGTGGAGGCCGGGCAGACTCACTCCCACTCATCCACGGCTGTGCAGCTTCTAATCTTTACACTGCAATTGAGTCTCTTCCATGCTCCTGGGTTAAAGCCTTCCAGCTCCCACATGGCTCAATCAAGGCCCTTTTTTGGGCTGTTTTTGAAGGTTGTCTTGCCATGACTGTGTCAAGAAAGGGTGTATTTTTTTAAATTTAAATTGAGATTCATATATGGAAGGAAAAGATGAATTGACCACTTCAATCCTGCCAGTCCAACATAAGCAAATATTTTAAGTGCAACTCCATTACAGGATTAAGCTGCAGGAAGCTCGTGTGCTTCACAGCTGTAACCTTTTCCTTTCTTACTGAGCCTGGAAGCGTTGCCCTCTTGCCTCCTTTCTGTTGGAGCTGGCTTTTCCTGTCACACTGCATACTCTGACAGAGCTTGGCAGTTTTCCCTGCCCTTGGCAGCTCTGGAATGCATTTTTGCTGTTTCTCAATCTCTGTTAGGACTGTGAGTAAGGCAGAGGTGGTGTCTTTGTTGCACTGCTGCTTTTAAGTCACATGGTGATGTTTAGGAAATCTGTGGACCTGCAGCACAGCAAAATTACAGCACAATGAAAAAGGAGTCCAAAAATGCAAAGCAGGTTAGTGAGTGCCCAGGTCCTTAAAGGGTTAGGTTCAAGTTTAGGGCAAGAAGAGCTATTAGTGGCCAGGAGTTTAGTTCTCCAACATTGTTATTGCCCATGTGGCTAGATAATTTAAAAAATAAATAAACAGGAAAGACTGGATCTATGTTTGGATACCAGCTGAGGGCTCTGTGCTGCTCAGCATTATTTGGAAGCCCAGCAAACCAGCACAAGTTTTATCCCCAGGACACTGCCAGGGACCATCCATTCAAACCACTGGGTGTCTACTGCAAATGAGCTTTTTGAAAATTTTGTTTTAGAAAAGCCTGAGTGGGCTTAGGCAGCAGTTGCAGTTCAATAGGGCAGCATAAGCTAATGGCATGAGTCATGGGGAGGAAACAGAGCTGCAGTTGGGGAACACTGTTCAGTAACAAAGAGTCTTTATGTTCCTAAATTCATACGGGCTGACACGAGGCTTACAGAGAGGCTGTTTAAGAAGCAGAAAGCTCAGTTCTGTTCTTGACATTCTCCCTGTTCTTAAAGACTCACATTTCCATCAGATACTTCCCTCTCCCTCCTCAGTCCCTGTCCTACACCTGAGTTTTTAGGAAGACAGAGGCACAAAAAAAGGTGATCTCTGGTGCCCACGCTCATCCAGTGGCATTTCTGCCCTCTGCACAGCAACTGTGTTCAAAGCAAGCTAAAAGACCAGTCTAGATGCTCCACCTGTGGATGTTGCAGGTCTGTGCTAACAAGTGACTCAGTCGGTAAATGCTGTTTCTGCCCCAGCCATTTGGTCAGTGCTGAATTAGCAGGGTGCAGGATGAATGCTGTGCTGTCAGCAGGGCTTAGGCCTTTGGACACTCAACAAAAGACATACTTGATGGATGTGCTGATGGCACTGACCCCAAATCCTGGCTCTGAGGCCATGTGGTTGTAATCTAAAATCAGCTGATCTAACTGAGAAATAATTCCACTGAAGTTAATGGGAACTGTGTCAGGGAAAAAAGTATCAGTCCTGTATTGTGCAAGTTGTGACTGGTTTTAATTCCACAGGTCACCTGAGGGATGGGCATTCACTGCTGCTTGTTGGGTAGGTCTGTTTGGGGGGGAGTGGCCTTTGGGAGCTGATCACGAGGCACTGGAGACAAGCACTCAAACAAGTATAATGGGGTTTTATGGAGAATCCTGCATTGCTTCCAGTGGAAACACTGCAGGATGCAAGGGAGGGGGGACTGGGAGCAGGCTGAGAGCTCCTCTTGCTGACCCTGTTGTGTGATAAACGAGCAAGGAACCAGAATGTCAGGGAGAGGAAGCGATAACCTCGAATTATCCTCTGGGGCAATGTTCTAATCTAGGCTGAGCTGATTACTCATCCAGAACAATTAAAATACTGCTTTATAATAATTAAGTAACTTAACCACTGCAATGACTGTAGTATGTGGGGAAGGCATTGCTCACTGGGGAAGGGAAAAGTAGATACACAAAGTGATGTCATTCCTCTGAAGCCTTTAGAACATGCACAGGTACACTGGGAGTGATTGTGATCAAACAAACTTCAGCTGGGGCTTGACAAAGAGCTCGTTTACAGCTCCAAGGCACTGATGGGGCTGTGTCCCTTTCCAGTGCACGGCATCAGCCTCTTGTTTCTGAAAATCCTCTGTTCCATTAAGTGCAATTAGAATATCTGAGCTCTTCTGAGGCCTTGATAACGGACTATTTTTTAAATCAGATCAAGTATCAGGGATTAAACTCCTGGTGTTTTGCATCCAAATGAGATTTCTGCTGGAACAGAAATATTTGCATTTAGAATTGATTGTATGAAAAAACGTGCTACAATTTGAATGATCCTTTGATGATTGGACTTTCTGGGATAGAAGTTCCAGTGTGAGTATTTTGTATGGAATCTGTAATTTCTCTGAAGTATAATCCATCATTCTGTGATTACCATTAATTTAGTCAGATAATTTGCTTGCTCTGTTCTTGTTTGACAGCTCCTGTTGCAATCAGGGAGGAATTGGGAAGCAGAGAACATGAGAGAGAACCTGTGGCTTACTGTTCAAGGAAAAGTTTCTTCCCATTTCAAATGTCCCCAGCACGTGCCGGGTAAGTCAGTGAGACACGTCAGAGAAAGAACACAAAGCCACCACTCATTTATGGAACAAAAAGAAATGCGGGCTGTTTTCTCTAGTGGTTCGAACATGAGGGATTTTAGCGGGCTCTATTGCCCTCTGATGGACAAATCCATGGAGCGATGTCCTCGGAGCCCTTGCAGAAGGGGGGAAACGCTCCAATGTCTCAGTGCAGGAAGAGCTGCAGCGCTGCCAGGGAGGCCCCGCAGCTTCCCTCGGGAGCCTGCCCGCTCCCAGATTAGATTTAAGGCGTTTGTAGTTTAGAAGTATTAAGTCACCTCTTACCAAACACTTGGCAGATCCTTTCCTTCCTCCCTTCCTTCCTCATTTATTTAAGTTTGTTTGTTTAGCTTCTCTTAAGAACAGTAGGAAAATATTTTTGACCCTGATCCCAGTTCCTGCAGAATGACACCCGGTTCGTCAGGAACTCGGGTCAAACCTGTGCCTTGCAGAGGAATGCCTCCAGAAGGGATGGGAGGTTTCTGGACCAAGGCTGGTACACAGAAATTAAAAAGTATCACTCAGCATATTTGAGCCACTGCTGGAGTGTTTGAGAAATGCCGGTGAAAACGAGAAAGCAGGATGGGGGGAATGGAGAGGAGAAATCGAGGGATGAAACAGAGGCTTCAGGGAGTGGGAGGAAAAAAAGATGGGTTAATAAATAATTTGAGTTGAAAACACAAAGTAGAAAAATGCAGATGATAAAGATGTGGGAGGGGGAAAATCCATATTCTCTATAAAGAAGCCAAGAGAAGTGTTACCTCAGAGAGCCAGTTCAGGTGTAATAGCAGAGGGGCCCAGACCTCCTGGGTACATTGTAGGTGATGTCCCGAAATTACCTGAATTTGAAAGGGTAAAATGCATCAGAAAGGCAGGAAATGCTTAAGGGCTTCTACCTTTGAAGGAGACTTTATTGGACACAGGACCAGCACCTTCACTCTGGAGCCAAGGACAAAGTATGAGCTGAGAATTCCTGTGGGTTTTCCTGCAGACCTGGCCCAATCCTTCCCTCTGTGTGCCTTGACCTTCTCATCAGCTTCCTCGTCCTCTTACTCAGGCAAAAAGCAGAAGCACCAGAACACCTCCAAGGAAGTGATTCAAGGGGCACCTTTGGCTTTGACTAGAAACCCTGGTGGCTGGAAACTTCCCACGGGGGACTCTTCCCACACAGATACATTTCCAGCTCACACTTCTGTGGCTCTAAACCTCTGCTGAGAGGGAGCAGAGACATGGCAGGGACTTCCCTCTGCCACGTGACTCCTGCCACTCGTGCCACTTCGACAGCTACAACGGGAAATTTTTAGCAAGGACAAGCCATGGGCATTCACACCAAAGCCTGACAACACTGTGTGGAGACCTTGGGCTGTAATTTCTTATTTTAGTTCACATAGGAGCTTGAGGAAGTGCATTAAGAAGCTCTTGCCAAAGTGTCTTTAAAAAATCCACCCAAATAACCAAGAAGCATGGGATTATCAGGAGCTGCTAAAGAAATGGTGCCGCATCTGGGAGTTATCTGGAGCCAGGAACTTGGAGTGGTTTATCTTCCAACAATACCTGACTGGCTGTTACAGACTGTCCCATCTCTGCCTGTGGGAGGGCAGAATCAGGGGGGATTTCATGTACCCACAGGCAGGGTCTGGCACAAAAATTAATAGCAGAGATATTGTGGAGTTTTTAGGACAGCAGATCACTTCTGGGATATTGGGTCTCTGATCCAAATACTGGCTGGAATTTTCCAAAGAGTTTGGGGAAACATGAGAATTTCCAAAATCACCACTCAGCCCCTGAAGTTTTCCCCCCATCTAAAATCTGGGAATACTACAGCAAGTCATGTTTGCTTTTAGGGAACAGATTCGTTTTGGGAAAAACACTACCAGAAACGGGAAGAAGCACTGCTGGTTTTGTTTAGTAAGTTCTGAAGGGAAGAAATGGCCTGTCCTTTTCTACCTCAGGCAGGAGTTTCCAGGACGCTTCTCTCTGATCTAATCTTATCACCCTGATTTCTTTCTGGCATTTTGGGACATGTTTTTCGTGACTATATCAGTCAGCTGAAGCCCTTTCCTGCCCCTGCATGAATTATTATTGTTTGGATTTTGGCAGAACATAGAGATCCTTCTGAAGATTGTGGCTGAATTGCCTCCATGGAGTTTATTCCTGCTTGATTTCTGTGGGGTATTGATGGGAAATATATAAACAGCTGAGAAAGGAGATGTGACAAGTCCATGGCGGAAGGGCTCAGCAGGGCAGTTCTGCCTCCAGCAGGGAGACCCAGCCCTCGGGTTTAATAATAATAAACAATCCCGGGTGAGATCTTTGCTGCCCTGAACCCGCTGGGTGTTTTGTGTTCATCTCTGTGTGTTCTGTGTTTGTGGTTTGTGTTCCTCGCTGCCTTTACACTCCTGTGACAAAGCCTTGACTCTGATCCCAGGGACACAGCTGGTGCTGGCCCTGCCCCAGGTGCCCTCCAGAAAAACCTGCAGGAGCTCTTGGGGAACAGAGCCCTGGGCCCATCCTGTGTTCCAGAGTTTGAGGGAACCGTTCACCTGCTCAGGGGCGATGTTGGGGAGTGTAACAAGTGCTCATGAACCGTGAGGTGATGCCAGTGCTTGGTGGAGCCTTTCCCTGTGCCAGACACAGACACGGGCAGGAAATGTTCCCAGGGGAAGCTTCACCCACAGCCACCCCAGGGGAGATTCTGACAATGAACCAGGTACCTACACAGGCCATGCAGGTCTGGTTTGGGTACGAGGATGGATAATCAGCACAGAGGGGTCTTTTCTAGAACACAAGGCAACATTTAGCTTTAAAACCCTTTTTGAAACATATTAGTGCTGGCCATTCCACTGCCCTGGGAGGCAGAGGGATCGATAGCTTTACACCACAGCCAGCACTGCCCCCAGCAAATGGATGGTACAGACCCCAGAGCACTGTGTCTGTCAGGGTGCTCTGCATTTCCTGACACACAGAACCACACGCTGCGCAGGCAGAGGCTACTGTTTATTCTTCGACCAGTTAATTGGGCTTTTTCTTAAATAAAATGTTTGCAATTTATTTTCATCTTTTTATAAAACACCTTTTCTTTGAATATTCGCTGTGACTCAAGTTCCTGGATGCTCATCCTTTAAATCCGAATTACAGGAATTTCATTGCTCTTTATTTACAGGGAAAGTTAACTCAGAATATGTTTGATATGGCTATTGCTGGTAATAATTTATATGTTCTACAGTAACAGCAAGAGTCTGCAAGTCACATCGAGGCCCTGGTTGAGTGAGGAAACAGAAAGTCCATTTTCTCCTCCAGTTCTTCACTGCGCATTTGCCAATTTTAAATCCAGAGCCCTCACCTTGAGCTGCATCTTTATTTATATCGCCAGGACTTCAATGTGACTGTAGCCGGAAAGAACATTATTTTGTGCTTCTGTCTACCCAGAAGGAAAACAAATTAACATTCCCAAGAAGGAAAGTGGATGTTTATTTGTGTGTTATCCGTGTCTCCTACTTTGTGAGTCACGGAGCGAACACGGAGCGGTGCGACCGGGCTGGGGACGCTCAGCTTGGAGTCACTGCCCGGGCTCCGCTGCCTTGGAGCGGAACACTGAAATAAGCTGATTTATAGAAATGGCCTTTTTAATGTTTAGAAGGTAAAACACAACTGTACCTTGCAGCCTGTGGCAGAAGAACTGTGGATGATCTGCCGAGCACAGCGGTTCGGGCTGAGCCGAAAGGCTGGGTCAGGGTGGGTGTGGGGAGGTGAGGCACTCCCGGACACCCGGGACAGGGGACAGAAGCGGGGTGTGCGGGGGTTGCTGGGTAGGTGATTTCAGGGGACACTTTAGGACCCCGTTCCCGTGTGCGGGGCGGTCACGGGCGGTCAGTGCCAGGGGACCCCCCGCTGCCCTCACGGACAGCCCCGCCCCTCACAAAACAAGCCCCGCCCCTCGCAGGGCCCGCCCTCTGGCCCCCGCCTCCCGCCCTGCCCCTCCCGCGGCGCAGGCGCTGCGCAGGCGCAGGGCCGGGCGGACTCGGGCGGGGGCGGTGCGCAGGCGCAGAGCGCGCTCGGAGTGCCCCGGGCGCGGCGGCGGGGGCGGCGCGCGCTCCCGCTTCCGGTGAGGTGTCATGGCGGGCCCCGCGCGCTGAGGGCCCGACCCCGACCCCGCCCGCCGGACCCGCCGCTCCCCGGGCGGGCGCGGCGGGACATGGCGGCGCACAAGCCCGTGGAGTGGGTGCAGGCCGTGGTGAACCGCTTCGACGAGCAGGTAGCGGGGGCGGCGCCGGGGCCGCGGGCAGGGCCGAGCGGGCCGGGGGCGGGCGGCGGGGGAGCGGCCCCGCTCCCGGGCCGGGGGCGGCGGGGCAGCGCCGGTCCTGCCGCCTCCCGGCCGTGCCGGGCCCGGGGCCGCGCGGCCCCGCGCCCTTTGTGCCGGGCGGGCCGGGCGGGGCCGGCGCTGCCCCTCAGCACCTCCTGCCGCACGGGGGGCCCGGCCCGGCCCGGCCCCGGCGGCTCCGGGGCGGCGCGGCCGTCCCTGTGCCCGGGGTGCCCGGAGGGGTGGCCCGGCTTCCCCCTCCCCGGGTGTCTCTGCTTTCCAGACAGTCCTGTGACACTTGCGCTGTGTGGCCCCTCAGGGAGGGGGGAAGCCCCGAGAGGCAGGTCCCGGGGGGCTCAGGCGCTGCCGCGGCGGCTCTGCCCGTTCCCCTCTGCCCCAGGGAATGTCGGTGTGGAACCCCAGCCCCGTGCCAGGCTCAGCGGGACGAGCAGGGCGTTCCAGCCAGGGCTATCGCAGTGATGGGCAGTTAATTCTCTTTGCAAAAGTCAGTTCTAGTGGTCTGGGGAAAGATGTTGTGAATGGAAAGAAGAGGGATTTGTTGACCTTAGACTTTATATTTCCCTTATCCACCAGCAGGAACTCCTTACTGGGATTAGGGGTTGACTCCTGATGGGGCTCAGCCCGGTGCCTGCACACGGCATTCCCACTCCCAAGCTGCTTTCCCGACCTGTGGGAACCCTGTTAAGGCTGAGCCCTCAGTTCCTGTGCTGTCTGTCTCGTTTTGCCACCCTGTGAGTGCAGCCTTTGTGTGTCACCAGGCCCAGCTCTGGGAGACCCTGCTCGGTGTAAATCCCTCAAACCCAGGGAGCTGCTTCTCCCCACTGAGCCCTGTTCCCGTGCTGCTCCTGTCCCTCAGTGCTCTGGGCACCCACCCTGCACCAACATGGGGCCTGGGGCGAGGAAAACAAGCTGGTCCTTTGTACGTTTATGTTAAAGCTGCTGTAAATGAAGTTCATTTTGAAAAGGAAAAACTTTGGCATTAAAACAAGGCAGATTTTTTTGAATACGCTGTGGGAATATTTGCACAGTTACCTTATTCCCCCCCTTATCTTGAGTCATAGATCATTTTTTCCATAAGCTTAAAAAACATGGGACTGATTATGCTTCTAATAATGCAAGAAAACGTTTCTTTGTGTACTGGTGTTAAAAGGCCCTGGTCTTTCTCCTCTGCTTTGTTATGTATAGTGTGGAATTGGGCTTGCCAAAATCTGTTAGGAGTTACAAACTTCTTAAACCAGAATTATTTTTCTGTACCTTTTCTGGGATGATTACAGATAGATGTAGGGGAGGAATCCCCTCTGGGTAGAAAGAAAGCTGTTCTTATTTTTCAGGTGCTGAAATACTGGGGTTGCAGTGATAATGCACATCAAATATCTAGACAGTCAGTGTCATGGAATGATATCAGAATATACTGAATATCTGCACATTATTTCAGAGGTGATAACGCAGGTTTGAGGTTTTGCATCCCGTGTCTGCCCTAAATGCAGGACCCCTGGATTCAGCACCAAGGGAGCCACTGCCTGTCCTGTCATCAGTGTTTGAGTGAGGAGGGGGAGAAGGGCAGCTGGTGTCAGCCGTGGGTTGTTTAGGTTTGGCTTTTCTGTGCAAGAGAAGACAAACTTTTCCAGGGTTTCTTCCTGCCTTTGCATAGAAGGAAAATGTAACCATCTTTCCCCCAAAATTTATAGATGTAGGCAGGCTTTTCATTCATTTGCTGAGAGCTTGAATTAATTTTAGGGAAGATGAAACACAAGCTGAGAGGATGCTAATCTGTATTGAAAACAAGGGAAATCAGTGCTAGCCAGTCTGCTCTGGCCTGCTCTTGTTTATTGTTATGAATGCTGCTTTAACCAAAATCTGCTTTTGTGTGTACAGTTCTGTGGGCCCAGAATGCCTGGCAAGCAGAGTTTGTGAATTAAGCAGTGGCTGCTCAGGGAGCAGATCCCTGGGGTTGTGCCAGTGCTGCCCTCGCTGTGCTCTGAGCCCACGGAGGGCTCCTGGGGCAGGAGGAGCTGCTGCTGGTACCTGTGAGGCCAGACCACAGTGATAACAGAACACCCAAAGGAAGGCTGTGGGCAGAGTCTCTGTGCTGTACTGCTTATTGTATTTTGCAAAACTTGGGATGATCAGGGGAGACTGAGGTTGCAGTAGCACAAAGAGCCTGGAAATTAGTACATTTCCCTGTGATTTCAGCCATAGCCAGGTCTTTGTAAAATAAAATCATCTCTTTTTTTCCGGTGGAAATGTTCACTTCCAGTTTTATGTGCTGTATTTTTATAGCAGTTTGTGTTATGAGCTGAAATCACAGGAAGGCTGATACAGCAGTGCAGTAGTTGTGAGCTCAGCTGGGGGAGCCTGACTGCCCAAACCATTGACATGTAGACTGGTTTAAAACTATCAGATGTAATAACAGGTATTAATCCTGTATAAACTTGTGGCAACTAAAGTGATTAAAGTGGTGGAGTCCCCGTCCCTGGAAGTGTCCAGGGAACGACTGGACGTGGCACTCAGTGCTCTGGGCTGGGTGACAAGGTGGGGATGGGTCAAAGGTTGGACTTGATGATCTCAGAGGTCTTTTCCAACCTCAGTGATTCTGTGATTCTGATATGCTTTCAAGAAAGAAGCCCTTCATTCTGTGGATTATGGTTCAGGCTCCCTGTCTGTAGTTCATGAGGTAAGATGGCTTTCAGTTAAGAAAATTTTCGTAAAAACTGAAAGTCAGTAGGAATGTTCCATTCTTCCTTTAATTAAGAGGCATTAAATTAAATCAAATATTCCCTCCTCCTCTTGGTTTTTCTCTGCAGCGTTTGAAATCTGTGCGGAATCAGAGCCCTGCCAAAGCAGTGGCTGCGGGTCCCAGTGCTGTGGGTAGGAAATCCCCAGGATAAGGGGGTGTGTTGTGAGGTGTGTCCCGTGCTGTGCTCCCGGGGATGTCCCTGGGCTGGGCACAGGGGGCAGCTCTTCCCACAGCTGCTGTGATGAGGCACATTCCCACAG